AATTTTTAGTATTAGAGTCTAATCTATTTTGTTGATGCTCAATGTGTGAGTAACGTTTAGAAGAAAGTGAACATCTGGACCCCGTTAGTGGTTAAAAAGTTTCTTGTGTTAGTTCTTTAATTTTTTTTGCAAATGTACTTGATCATTTTTGGGTTTAAACGTTGATTTGGGACTAACAGGCACTCGGATTGATGAGTATAAAAATAAAATTGTAGGGGAAAAGAGACAAAACCTGAAATGATTATTGATTTTTTGGTCATTCTTATTCCTTTTGTACTAACGCACCAAAGGATTAAAGTGAAGGCAGGATTATAGAAACAAGTTCATTCGAAGTCTATATAATCTCCAAATATATGTTCTGTTGTATACATCATCTTGCACTTGATTATGGATGGCCCTTTCCTTGTGGTGCCATTATTGTGGGACTCCCAGAAACCGCACTCTTATTGTCCCATATGTCTACAATCAGAAAAGAATGCGCAAGAAAAGAAATAAGAAAGGGTAGAGAAAATATCTTGAGCGAGTATCAGGAACTAAGTAACTCAAGCCATACTGACAAGAAAATCTCGAAAACAATCACGTATAAAAGAGTAGCAACTAAATTGTTCTTTATTCAGTGAGACAAAATTAATGAGAAGTAAGCAGAAAGTTCGCGAAGCGCTTACAAAGTAGTCTGGCTCTACCACTGGTCTGGAACTCAAGGGTTGTGCTCCTTGCAGGTGTTGCAATTGGAAATAAATTGGCAAAGATTAAGAGAAAAGAGAAAAGGAGAGAGAAAAAGATAACAGGATTTTTCTTTAACATCTTTGTTGAAGATAATAATGGTGTGGGTGTTAAAGTGGGTAAGATCGTGGTTGATTATATATAGCGCTTATTAATCAAGATTTTTTTTTCTACCATTGACAGCAAGAGGCCCATTTGGGTGAGAATTGTCAAAAAAGGGGCCAGCACCGGTCCCATTTTGCATTGACAATGGGCAAAAAATTGATTAAAATCTTGTAAAAATAGTTCCCACACAGGTGGCAAGAAAAAGACTGAGTTGAGGCAAGAAAGAAATTAACATTTCCTCTAATATAACTAAGGGGGATTTTTCAAAATAGCCG